AACCTGACAGGTGAGGTTGGTGCCATGGTCACTGGATCTCAAGGTGAGGTTGAGCACCGAGGAGCTGAGGGTCTGGGGGTTCAGCGAGTCAACAGCGGCTCCCGCCCAGGAGAAGGTGAGAGGTCTTCCCCCTTTGCAGGACCCTGGCAGGCTGCAGGTCAGCTGAGTGGGGCGGCCACACTCCAGAGGCTCCAGAAAGTGGATGTGGGGCTTCTCTGTCAGGGCTGAGGAGAGAGGCAGGTGCCTGGGCTCCAGGAAGTGGGGACTCAGAGCGTGACCCTGAGAGGGACCCGGCCTCAGGGCCTCAGCTCACCCCAGGCCCTGGGCCTCTTCCCACCACCCTTGGCCCAAGGCCTGAACAGGGAGTGTCCCAGCGTCCTGTTCCTGTTCTAAGACAGGGTCCCATGTCCCTGGGTTCTCTCCTGAGCCCCTGCCATACCTGTCACTTGCAAATTCAGCAGCTTATCTTGGTAAGTATATTTCACACTTCCTCTCTCCATTCGGAAGAAGTAGATTCCTGTGTCACTCCTCCTGGCGTCTCTGATGGTCAGGGAACAGTTCTTGTCCCAGGGGTCCCCGAGGAGGAATCGGTCCTTGGTCTCTCTCTTCACTGTTTTTTGGGGGTCGTTTGTGGCCACAAGATGAGGATAGTATGTGCTGTCCCCATACCGGTACCAGTAGGTGTAGAGTTTGTTAGAGGAACCCTGAAAAGCCTTCGGGTAGGAGAAGGAGCAGGACACGTGGACGCACAGACCCTCCTGCACTGTCACTGATTCTGGCACTTGGAGCTCATAGCCTGGTGCCTCCTGCAGGGACCCTGGGGGGACACAGAGGCTCAGCTGCAGCCTTGCCCCTCCCCCACCTGCCCAGCCCCCCTTCCCTCGGCCCACTCACCCCCCCACAGCAGGGGCAGCAGCAGCAGGGGCACCATGTCTGCATCTGACAGGGCAGAGCAGTCCAGGTCCCTGGGTCCGAGGGAGATGCCCAGCTGGGGGGTGGGGCCGAGTATACGCCAACAGGAAGCCCTGGGGGAGAGCTGTGCTCCAGTTGGAAGAGGAACTTGGGCTCCACAGGACTTGGGGGGTGGGGTGGCAACGGAGAAATCATCCTGTCTCACCTCCCCCCACCCCCACCCCAGCCCTGCAGGTCAATACCAGGGCCCCCAAGGGTGAGAGCCTTGTCCAGGTGTCAACCCAAAAGGGATCGCCTTACAGGTGGTGTTTAAGTCCAGAGGGAAGTCACCCAGGGGCCATGTCAGTCAGAGCAGGTCCTGGTGACTCATGGGGACCCACCCTCTAGCTGAAACCATGGAACTTTCTGGGAAAGAGTAATTTTAATAGTTATTTAGACCAACTGCCGGCAAAAGAGAAAGGAATTGAGACCCAACTCCAGTGGAGGCTGGAACCCAAGGGAAAAGTTGAGCATTTAGCCTTTTGCTCTGAAGGCTTTGGGGGGCACGGGGTGCACATGTGTTGGCTTCCGGGCTCTGAGGTCCGTGGGAGAGGGAGGGCGCACAAGCCCGCTCAGCACGGGATGTGTGAAGGGAGATCTCGCCCCATTTGTCGGGGACCTCAGCACAGCAGCCAGTTGGCTGCCCGAAGCTCAGGGAACTCCACCCTCAGGGCCCCTCACATGCTCGGTCCCTTTTCAAAGCCCCACCAAGGCTGACAGCACATGTTCTCTTTCTGCTCCGTTTGTGTCCCAGCATCAGCATAACAAATTCCTCACATTAAATTCCCGAGGCTGAAATACACGGTGGGGCTTCTGTGTTCCTCATTGGCCCTGGATTAAACCCGATGGAATCTCAGGAGATGAAACAGTGAGCACTGGACGATTTCAAAGGCATTCATGATAAAATTCACAGGCAACCAGGAGGAAAGGAGACTTTCCTCACCAGACACAATACGGGGTGTCTGCAGCAAACATCACACCTAATGCAGTAGCAGCGGGTCCTAGTCTAGACAGACGAGAACAGTAAGTGAAAGCTATGACAACTCAAAAGAAAGTAAAGCTGCCTTTCTTAACAAATGACTACATCTAGACAGTCCACAAGTGTATGCAGATACATTTAGGGGGCTTAAGAAGAGTTAGCAAGGTTCCTAGAGACAAAATCGAATTACAAAACTTAAATGTGTTCCTCTATCACAGCGAGAAACAAATATAGGGTGGTATAAAAGATGCCATTGCCGTTAGCATCAAAACTTATATTCCTGGAATATTCAGAAATGTACCTCACAAAAATATCCGATGCACTTCCTCAGTGGTGGAAATAAGAAGACTCTTTGGAAGGACAATAAAGATGTAAATAAATAACCCTGGGCGGGTGACTCAGTTGGTTGGAGTATCATCCCGTCATACACCAGAAGGTTGTGGGTTCGATTCCTGGTCAGGGCTTATACTTAGGTTGGGGTTTCCGTCCTGGGCCAGGGCGCGAAAGAGAGGCAACTGATCAATGTTTCTCTCTCACATGGATGTTTCTCTCTCTCTCTCTCTCTCTCTCTCTCACACACACACACACACACACACACACACTCACTCAACACAAGCCACAAGGTATAGACAGGAAAGCAGAAGAGGAAATTACTCCATAACCTGTGCCAGGCAAGATGGGCCTCAGGGGCAGACAGAGGGACTGGGCTGACACCCCTCAGAGCACAAGGTCCCCCATCCTGATAGACCCCAAACTAAAGTATTGGGGAAAGGAGGCAACTATTTTTTCATTCGAGGGTCGCAGAATCCATCTGAGGGAGAGGAGTGTGTGTGTGTCTTTTACAGATAAACTAATGATGAAATTTTGTGGAGGTGAAATTCCCATAGAATTGCTAATGCTCATTTGGGGGGTGTAAACTTCGGAGCTGTTGCTCACTGCACCTCACCCACCATGGTCAGTTCCACAGGCCTATTACACCCCTTTGCCATCCCCACAGGCGGAAGGGTGTCTCTGTTTTTAAATTTAAATTTAACTTTGCATTTACAGTTTACAATTCAATGTTATTTTGTATTAGTTTTGGGTGTACAACAGCGGCTCCCCCCAGTATTCCCAGCACCCACCCAGCGCCGCCGGTAGTTATTACAATATCATTGTCCACATTCCCTGTCCTGCGCTTTGCATCCCCAGGGTGACTGCAAAGGGTGTCTTTTTAATTCAGCTCCTCAGCAAGGGTCTGGCTCATTTAGGTCCTGGATGGAAAGCCAAGGCCAAGCCCAATCTCTGCTGAACCCAGTTCAGTCAGCATTTTCCTGGTCTAGAATACGTCTCACACCAGACCCTGCCCATGGGAACAAGTACCTCCTGATTTTTACTCTAACATCTGAGAGATTCTAGAGCTTAGGGAGCAAGGGCAGATTTGCTGGTCCCCCAGAACCTAAGGTAGACTTTGATTCTGCTTTGTGCACTTTGGATCTAGAGTCAGTGAAACTCGAGAGAGGAAAGGCAAGAATTCACGGCTCACATTCATGACCGGCCTGGCCCAGAACCATTCACTTAATCACAGCCAGTCTCAGAATCCCACAATTTGGCTCAAGAAACTCCCACACTCGCTAAATAGTAAACTCAATTTTTATGTCCTATTAATAAAATTTTTATTTTTAATTCCATGTTGGGGTTTTTTATAGTGATCATGGCAAGGTAGGTATCTTTGAACTGGGGAAGAAGAGTTGTGCCCCTAACTCTGCTGTGTATGGACATTTACTTTGATGGGGAAGTTTGGGAGACGAGAGGCTCAGGTGTTAACCAGGTAACTTCTAGGCAACGGGAGATTAAGGCCCCAAATAATTCTATTCTTTCCTGGGCCTGAGGATGGGGAGAGAGGAGCAGCGGGTTGGGGAGTGGGTGGGCAGGACCGACACACACAGAACGGGTCAAATAGGAGAGGCGTGGGCAGCAACCAGGGGGCAGTCAGTGGTGTGTATGACTTTTTATTTTCTGTACCTTATGAAGTTTTGACATCTTACACCACTTTGAGGCCAAGGAGAGAGACAGCCCCTCCCAGGGCTAGCCCATTCTCAGAGACAGCAAAGAACTCTGCCAGGAACAGCCTTTCAGATGCAAACCAACCCATCCTGAGCCCAAGTTCCCCAGCCACCCCAACCTGCCCTAAATCACCCAGGACCTGGGACCAGGCAAATAGACACCATGCCCGCAGGCCCAGCTTCCCCAGATTTATACCTACTAGCTGATCCTGAACTGCGCACCCTGCCCTGCCTTGTATTTCCCATGGAAACCCCAATAAGGGATCTGGCTAGGCTTCCCCACACCTGCGCCCACATCCTGAGGAAACCCGGTGCTTCCCCTGTGGTCCTGCC